CCAACCCCCCTGCTCAAAGCAGGACCCACCCCCAACTAGATCATTCCAGCCAAGGCTTTGTTGAGCCAGGCCTTAAAAACCTCTGAGGTGGAGATTCTACCACCTCTCCAGGTAAACTGTTCCAGTGCTTCACCACAGTCCAAGTTTTTCTTAATATCCTCAACCTTGTTCCGTCATCTGCCACCACTGCAAACAGTTCAGGGGAATAGAGCAGAAGAATAACTTCTCGTGACTTGAAGCTGGGTACATCAGCTGGCTGATACAACCCAGTATACTATTGGCTTGTTTTGCCAATAAACACACACCTCGCTGATTCATACTCAGCTTGCAGTCCACTATAAGCCCCAGGACCTTTTCTGCAATACTACAGCATAACTAAATGTTCCTCAGTCTGTATCTCTGCATACAATCTGTCTTGGAACAAATGCAGTCCTGCACATAACTGAAATTCATTCATATAATTTTGAATCATTTTTCTGGTTTATCAAGCTACAACCTCAATAAATCTCACAATATTCATCAGGTATTTTAGTTGATATATAATAAGTTACACGTATGGAAACTTTGAGACACACATAGCCCCAAAGCAACCATGTATTCATGCTGTACAACTTTTGTTCCAACTACCATTTCCACTGTCATAATCCTGGTTGCTTCCAACATCAGGGCCTGACCCTACACACACCCACAAGACTAACATTGACATAAATTGGTCCCAATCTCAAAGAGAACACCTATAACAAATGTGGCTATGGTAGTCTGATTGGGAGCCAAAGAGGAAGCATGCTCTTCCTCACCTCCCTCTCACCCCAAGAGAAATGAGGTCAGGTAGCTTACACGGACAAAGAAAGAAAAAGCAGAAACAGGGAAAAAGTAGTTTTTTTTAAAAAAAAAATTATATATATATATATCACTGTGCTGATTGCAAATGACTTAAGTTCAGAGCATGTTACACCAAAGGAGAACACTAGTCTCCCTCTTCATTCCCTCAGGTCCTTATGCGCCTTTTCCTGGGACAGGCTGAGGATCATTACCTTATAGTGGTATTTGTTAGGGGTGCCCGAAAGAGATTTTGGGGCCAATAGCCAATATTTAAGGAGACATATCGGCTGATGCTGATCCAGTATCTGATACAGCTGCCTCCAGGTGGTAAGTCTGTTGTGGTGGAAGGGGAGGGAAGGGGCATGGGGGGCAGACCAACGCCCCCCCCACGGTGAGGGAGGGGGCAGGGCACAGTACAGAGGCGCAGCTTGCAGTGGCGGGGCCCATTGCTGCTTGCACCCTGGGATGGCGAGGGGGGGCTGTGTGCCCCCAGATGTGTGCTGGGAGAGTGGGTGGGCTGGAGCCAAAAGCTGCGTGGGGCTCTTCTCAGTGGGGGCTGGGCTTGGAGTGAGCATCAGCAATGCTGGAAGGATGCTGCAGCCACACCAAATTTTGCCACAGCTCCGCTCCCAGCTCCACACCACCTGGCACAGCCTGGCTCCATGTCCTGCTTCCACCCATGTGCTGGGAAGAGCTGAGGTTGCGGCTGGCGGTAGCGCTGGGAGCAAAGCTGCAGCAAAATCTGGGGTGGCTGCAGCCCCTCCCAGTGCCGCCAGCACATGGTGTGAGCTCAGCCCCTGCCAAAAAGAGCCCTGTGCAGCACCGACTTCAGCCTGCCTGCCCTCCCAGCGCAGATATGGGGGGCACCCCCACACCCTCCCAGGGTGCAAGCAGCAGTGGGAGCTGCCCCCGCCCCCCCCCACAAGTCGAGCCTGTCCCGCGCCCCTGCCCCCTCCCTCCTTCACAGTGGGGGTGTTGATCTGCCCTGCCCCCACACTCCTTTCCCCCTTTCCTTTCCAACTTACAAGCTGGAAGCAGCTCTCCATGCTGCCTGCTCTGCTCCATGCTGCACTGCAGCTGCGCACAGCATAGGCATTTATTGGACAAATTATCAGCCCCATCGGGCCAATATCTGATAGAGAAAATTTTCTTTACATCAGTATTGATCCAATATTCGACTGATGTATTGGTGCACCTCTAGTATTTGTTTACCCTTGAATGTTGTTTTTCCTCCTCTTTTCCTACTACTCCTCTGGCATGGCCCAGGCTATCACTTCAATACAATCATTTTCAGATTTTATATAAGAAAAACATTAACAATTTTAAAACATAAGACCAACCTATTGCCGAGTCCAGGCTGAGCGTCTGCAGTTGCTGGACTGAGCCATAGGTAGGAAGACAGATGGGTAGACCAGAAGAAAACATCATGGAGCAGAAATCTGGGAGGGACAGGGTCTAAACAGAGAGATCTAGGACTCACAAAAGTATAACAGAACCATACTCCCCAGTTTTCAGAATTCCAGAGGCTTTAGACAGGAGACAGAGGCAACAGGTAAAAAGAAGATATAAAATGGAGGTCAAAGGCATCAAGAAGGCAGAGACGGAGCAGAAACAAATTAAAGTTCTCCCCCACCCCTACCCCCATATCCTAACCCCACTTCCCCTCCTCCCACCTGCCCAATTTGGTAGGAAGCCCAGTTTAATTGGTCTTCACAGTTCTGTTGGAGGATGGCTTCCTTCTTGAAAACTTTCAACTTGATTTAAAATAGCAACAAACTTTTTTTTGTGGACCGAATTTTAAGCCTGTAAATGGAAAGTTAATGATTCCAGCTGGTTCTTCGCTGTCATATACGCTTCATAATTTTACATTTTTATACTGGAGTAACACCCTAGTGTCCCAGTCAGGATCAGGGTTGCTGTATTAAGTGCTATATAAAATAGCAGATTGCTTGGCTCCTGACCAGCTTAGTATTTCTCATTCAATCTTAATTTTATCTTCTTGACTTGTTCTGTAATATTAATGCACTGTGGGATGCATACAGATTAATTTATACCCTGTTTATTAATAGGCACTAAAGATTTCAGAAGTTCAAGACCATATTAAAATGTGTCATTCCTCAAGTTCTAACTAACATTTTTGTAGCAAGTAATATGTTTCAATAGAACTGGAAAGATTTGCTTTTCATTATACACTCTTCATTAAATGGTGGTGTCAGTTAATATAAGTGCAATTTAGGACTTGCAATTTTGTAATACATCTTGTAAACATACTTAAATACCAGTAACATGCTTTTTTTTTTTTTGGTAATGAGTAGTGTTGTTGTTTGTTAGTGTATTGCAAATGGAAAGTCCTTAAATAGAAAATCTAATTTTCTAATCTATGGTTTATAAAAATCCTTCTTCAAAATTGAGTGTATATAGTTTTGTGGAACCATGCAGGGTCAAGTATTTGCGGGTGGGAGGGAGACAGCAGATGGGAAGGAAAAGATGAGTCAAAGCTGATCTGTATGTTTCAGATGTAGGAAGAATTTGGAAGAGGGAGCTGGAAGACTGCCACCTCTACTATGCAGCTAGTTTGTGGTGCATTCTGTATGGTGATTGTGCTAGTAATGACTCTACAAATGGTAACAGACTACACGTGGGAAAACTATTAGTAGCTTTAAACTTAGGAAGTGTGTTACATGTATTACATATAGGCCCAACTTTGAATGACAGACAATGCAATTTGTGTGCATTAACTTGAGCGTAGCCTCAGTTTTGCTGTTCTCTTGAACTTAAGAGCTAGCTCACAGACTTTCTTTGTTGACCTGAAGCTTTCTGCCAGTCCCGTTTTAGTAGTCGAGTTAAAAATAAAACAACTTCTTAAACATATGTATGTTTATATAAATAAACTTCTGGAAACCTCAACTACATGTATATTTTCAGGAAATATAATTTTCTTTTAAAATGTAGTAATGCGTGTGTTCTATACAAACATGAATCTTCATCCACCTGTAGACTATGATGGGCTAAAAATGCTTTAATGAACTAATGAATAGCTCAATAGTCTTCTCACTGTCTTGAAAACAGAGCATTTTGTTGCCAAACAGGAAATCTGAGTTTAGAAGTGTGTTTCCATATACACGCAAGAAATCCATTAGATGCACTCAGAGAGGTTGACAGACTATTTTTAGGATCATGACATGACTCGCATTATTTTCACTGAACTTCTTTGATCAGATGTTCAAGGTATTGAGCATCTAGTACTTCCACATACCTCAACTGTAGTTCTATGCGTTTCATAATCCTAAAAGTCAGGCCCTAGAATTTATTTGGATGTTTTAGTTGAATAGCACCAGGATTACACCTGCATTATCTAAAATTTGCAACTAGTGGGGGGTGGTGGGGGAAAATCAACTTTCCTTAATCTCTTGTTACATGCCTTCATTGTGACCTATTCTAATCTTATTTCCTGGCACAATAAATGGAATTAAACTAAGTAAAGATAGATACTGAACACCTTGTTTCTACTTTGCACTCAATAAAGCAGGCAACCTTCACCCCAGTACAATACTAAATCTAGAGAGAATAAGCTCTATTCCCATTCCAGGTTTTACTTCCTCATCTCCCCTTTTCCTTACCCACCCATCTTCAGGGAACAGCAAGAGTCTAAGCCACTTGTTCAGAGGATGATTCCAACAGCTGAACTAAAACAGGGTGCAGCAATGGACAGATGTAAGTGAAACAAAGCATGTAGGGAACCACAACCAACGAATGGAAAAATCCATTTTTATATCAAGCTGCCATTGCTCAAAGCAACCCTTAAAATGGAACCAATATACTTATTTTCAGTTAAGATGATGCCACGATAGTTGACTAAATAAACAAACACACTGATATTAAAAGTTCAAAGGGCTTGTCAACATTTATATCTCGAATGACAAAATTAAAATCTAAGTCTTTCTCTAGTACTCAGATTCACTTTGGAGTAAAATGCTATCTGTATAACAAACAACCCTATAACCCATTTTCACTCAAAAAAATGCAAATAGATTTAACTATTCAAATAGCCATTTACTGTTATTAAACTTCAGAATTTTGGTTTCTACACATGAAATGAATCCAGCAAACTACAACATTTATGTAATATACAACTTGTAATGCTATTATAGTTGGTTAGATATTAAACAAGAACTTACCACAGTGGGGTTACCACTGCTTATCAACTGGCTGACTTCATGGAAAATGCTCTTGCAGTCAATTGATTTGTCTAATGATCCTCGTTTCACTATGACTGCTACTGCTAACAGAATCTGCTCCCGAACATACTTTTGAAGGCTGCAAACATAATAAAAATATTTAGTTCTTGCTGTTAATTTGAACACCACAAGGCTCCTATAAAACAAAATTTGAAAACCGATTCCTTTTTAAATGTATAATATGAAAACTTATATTAAAAAACTGGCTACTAATATCAACCAAGGATTAAGCAATTAGAAATCACTAGCACTGAAATGCTTTCTATCCGTTAGCAGAGGAAGATTAAAACAAAGGCAAATGAGATGTATGCAGAAACTTATGCAGGTATTTTGGAGGCACTTTGTCAGTACGTACTTAGGCCTTTGTAAGACATAGGTTAGAAGGAATGTTCGCAGTGACTCGATGCTACTTTTTTCCAGGAGAATCCATTCTCTTACAACTGCTTCCATTATCGCTGTGGCAGCTTGAAAAAGGACATAGTCCACTTTACTAGTTTCTGTTAAGAAAACCAAAATCATTCAGTTACCAGATGATATACGTTCACTGCTCACATTTGTTGAACAGAAAAAAAATCTCTCAGATAAATGAAAACAGTCAGTTGTAGTTCTGTGAAGTAATTTTGCTTCACGAGTGAGGTCCCCCATAAAGGCACCTCAAATGTATAATAAGATCAATGACCACAAATTAGCAAATCATCATGTATTATCCAAGGTAAGATTAGAACCTAAGAAGGCAACTGGCTGGACAAGGAAGCAGGGACTAGGATGAGGAGTAGGGATGGGAACAGACAGGATTGGGCAATGAATGAGAAAGGAGTCCTGTGGGAAAAATAGTATATAAACTTTACACTGAGTAAAGATTATTTCATAAGGGTATGTGCAACAGAAGCTGAACTGAAATTATTAAGAAAACTTTGACATTTCCTCTTCCGAATGCTTGACTTTGCAAACTTAATTTTAACATAGTTGTGTGCATCTATGTCTGTACCATGTAAAAGCTGTCAACCTTACCCCTGTAAGTTTAAGAATCGGTCCCACTTTAAAGTATTTAACAAGCATTTAAAGTAGAAATTTGTTTTGTGATTAGGGAGGAATAAATAGCATAGGATCATTTACATTACAAAATAATTTCAAACAAAGGACAGCATTGAAAGCTAATCATTTACTTAGCTGCCGTGCACAGAGTACAAGCTTCCATATTTACCATGAAAGAGCTAATCAAATCTCAATTTCCTGTTAAAGTGTAGGAGACACAGGCACTCAGGCATTAAAGCAATGAGAGTAACATAAGTAAGAAACTAGACAGGAGGCTAATAAATTACTATGCAGCATAATTTGAAACTGAAAAAAGAAAAAAAAACAAACCAGAATCTGAATTTAATCTGGTGTTAGCAGATCGCTAACGTCAACGCCTATTTAATATTTAAAAAAAAATTCTGGGTAGCACTAAGGAAAGAGCAGCATGGAGACGTGGTTATGGAATAGCGAGGGGACAGTAGTGAGCAAGCTGGAGGAGTAAGGAGCTGTAAAAAAAACATGACTGCAGAAAGTTAGCTACCAAGGCCAGAAATCCAGGCTTGGTTAAGAGAATTGATGGTTTGTGAGGAGCACAGCTGATTAAGAAATAATTTTAAAAGCTTACAATATTCAGATGTGCACTGTAGCACCCATTTAAGATTTAGCATAAAGTGATAAACCAATTTAAATCTATTGAGTTTAATTGGGTAAAAGAGTATTAGATGATCATTAAAAACCAAAGCAGAAGCTTACACGTAAGTGGGCCAAATTAGTTTCAACATGCTAAATTTTAAAAAATTCTTTAGTTTATTAATTTAAGAAAATATAAAGTTATTAAAAATAGAATCTTTTCCACAAAGAACCACATTTAGCCCCAAAATTGGAGACATCAACAGGATTGAGACTTCCAGTTCCACAGGGCAGACATCCACAATGTAAGGCAAGTAAGTAACTGGTAGGAAAGTATGCTGTTATCCTCCTCTAGTCTAAGTACAGAAAGTCAAAAAGCTCGAGGCAGAATCAGATTCAGTCTAGGCAGCTTCCTCGAAGCTGCGTAGGTTGAACTGATACAACCAACTGAACTGACATTCAGCAGAGTTGGGAAAGGCAGGGGAGGCCTGCACTGACCCCGACCAGTAGGCAGGGGGCGCTAGAGCACACCTCCCAACCTGCTGGCCATTGCCAGCCCAGCCAAGTGGCCCCAACTGGCTCCCCAATACATGCCTACAACCTCTGCTGTTTTCCCACACGGGGTTAAGAAGCCCCCTGCCCAAGTGCTGGCCCACCTTGGGGGAGCCTCCCCCTTCAGGGAGTTTCCCCCAGCTACAGTCCCCAGCCCAGGCAGCCCTGGGGAGCAGAGGGGAATGCCCTCCCCACCTTCCCAGCTGCCACAGGAGGGAGGGAAAAGAAGTCCTCCCGGCCAGATGCCTACCCGTACAGCCAAGTATTGGGACACTGGGGAGCCCCTGCCTTGGGGGAGCTTTCCCCACCACAGCCCAGGGTCTCCCAGCCTAGGGCAGCCCCAGGGAGCTGAGGGGGATTCTTCCCCTCCCATACCCCAGAGGTGCTTGCCTCAGCCCCTGCCAGTCTCCGGGCAGCCTCAGGGAGTGGAGGGAAATTCTTTCACTCCCCTGCAACTAGTTTTGCCTCAGACTCCCAGCAGCTGAGGCAAAACTGACTGTGGAGGAATAGAATTTCCCTTCACTCCCTGAGACTCGCAGGGGCTGAGGCAAGCAGCTCCAGGGTTGGGGAGGGAAGAATTCCCCTCAGCTCCTGGGGCTGCCCCAGGCTGAGGGACCCTGGGCTGCGGTGGGGGGAAGCCCAGGCAATGCAGTCCCTGCTCCGCTCAAGCAGACAGCACAGTCCAGGACTACAAAGCATGCTGGGATGCTGGAGGACTATGAGTTACCTTGAACCAGGAAGGGATCTGGGGCAGAAGTTCCATAAATCAGTTCGGCCTAAACCAGCTGAGTCTGATACTACATCCAACCAGGTTTATCTTAAACCAGTTTCAGCCATTTTGAAAGCAGTTTATATGCACTGAACTTCTGTTGTGTTACAGGTTTACACCAGTTCCCAATCACTTAAACCAGTTTGTGTGCAACTTCTGCCCCTAGCCCTAGTGACAGCCCTTTGCCAGCAGGTTTCAGAGCTATTTGCTGACATAAGAGGAATATTAAACTTTGAAGTGGTGAGTTTCTATTCCAGGTTTCATAAAGGTAACACTCAAGTGGCAAGAGCCTGTTTCTTCCTCTCCTCCTCTTATTCGTTCCATCCCTTACCTGGTTTCTCATCTATGCCCCCTCCTCTCCAGCCCATCCAGGCTCTTATTCTCCTGTTCACCATCATCCATCCCAGCTCCTGTCCTTTTCCCCTTCTGCTTCTGTGCAACCCTTCTCCTGACCCCTTACATTTTCACCTGGCTGCTGCCCTAGTACTTTGCATTAACCCCCCTCCCCCATCTACTGATTCCTGTCCCTCTCTTGCTCTGCATGTATTCCATCTCATGCAGTTCCTTCCTCACTCCTTTCATTTTCTCCCACCGTTATATATCAACTGCCTTATTTCTCAGCACTTTGCATTAAAGCCAGCTGTTACCTCCTTCCCTCCACACTATCGGGCACCAAAAGAGAGACCTGAAAGTACAGAATAGCATCTCAGTTCCTGTCCCCTGCATCACAAGAGCCCATAGAAGAAATGATAGCAGCAGAAGTCCTACTCAGCCCTTGGGCTGAAGCATTTGCAGAAGACCTGGGATGTAAATGTGGATAGCCCACCCAATGCACAGGAACTATATATGAGGATCTTGCATACCCCAGGCAGATGAAGTCTGAAGAATTTAGGTGTCAAACTAATGAATCTCTGCAAAGTTTGTAGAGGCTGTGATTGTTCAGAGTTTTCTAACCTGTCTAATCTGAGCAATTTTTCACAGGGACAGCAAAAGACAAACTAGGGTGATCCCCTCTATTTCCACTAGCCTATCAAGTTTCAGCCCTTGCTCTTAAGCATGGATCCCATAATGGAAAGTGTCAGGCAACCTTCATTATCTGTGGCAACATTAATAAACTCCAGAACTCTTACAGTATTCACACTAAAAAGTGAAGCAGAAGGCAAGGCAGGGGGGAACCTTTGAGACTGACTGGTTCAGAAAGCCTTGGGCAACAGCCTACTTCATCAGAAGCTATGAACAGACTTAAAGAGAGCAGGGGTATGTGCCCAAGAGCTGAACATACAAGATAGCTTCTAAATTATTTTAGAAACTCAGATTGACAAGGAAGTTGTACCAAAGCTTTGTTTAGTTAATGCAACTATGAATACAAATAAGGCCAAAAAGCAGGGAAGGGAAATGGAGCTTTTGCACTGGAAGTCTTAGTTAAAGCACTCCAGCAGCTCTGCAAACGCATCAAAAAGTACCTAAAATAAATGGTTAAAAACATACTATACTGTGTTAGTAATCTTACACAGCTATTTTTCATTTATTTTAAATTTGCTGCACTTCGCCTTTAAATTCACTTTCAGTACTGAAGTCGGAAGTAACAGACGGTTTCAAACAAATTTCTTTTAATTAAGCTAGTCAGCTGGGCATAATGAAACCAATTAGCACTAATTTAAAATGTTAGCACAGTCAGAGCACTGTACTCAAAATAAGATGGATCAGGAATAATTTAAAAGCAAACAGCTTAATTTTCACTTTTCCCAGCTGCAAAAGACCTGCATCATCTGACAGCCATTACATTACTGTCATTCTAAATATCTCAATAAATGCATTAAAGACTTACCCAAAATATGCTTGCAAACAGCAAATGGTGATTTTGACTTTCTAAATGATAAGAATATGTGCTCGGCATGCTGGCGTTGTTCATTATTGACCATGGAAGGTGGTGCCTAAGAGAAAATAAAGTTTCCCTGAATTTTAGTAATCTGTAAAGTAACATTCTTATTGCATACGAGTAATTTCATGTTCTAGTAAATATTTGCCTCAGTGACTAATACCAAAAAAAGCAAAATTAAATCTGCCATGGCAAGGTGCCTGTAATTTTTCTGGCACAGCCTTCCTATTAGTAAACTATCAAGAATACCCACACCTACATCACAATGTAAATACATCTTTTTATGAATATTCACATTGCAAATAACCACGTTTTTCTGCATTGCTAATATTAAAACAAAAACACACTGAAAAAAGAATGATAGATGGATATGAAGATTCTCCATGACTCTTCTTTGTCCTGCACTGACACAGCCCAAATCACAGCAGAGCTCAAATAAAAAGCCCATCATCACCATCTAAAACATAACATGAACTACTGAAATGTCAACCAAGAGAAATGGAAATATTGCTAACACAAGAAAGGTAGTACTTCTGGTAACTTTTTTTCCCTGAAAGTTTACATTTAGAAGTTGTAAAGGATATAGTATTTCTAAAAGGCGAAAGAAACTGGACATGATAAGTTATCAGCAGTAACATACTACCCTCTAGTGCTGAACATTAAAACTGAGAATCTCAGTCTATTTTTTAGTAGATGCTAAGCATTTATTCTCATCCGCACACTTTCCCAATTATAGAAAAGAATGATAAATATGCTTTGCTGTCTACAAGCACTTTTCTACGAGTATATTCACCAGCTCCAAATATTAGCATTATCCTAACCAATGTATATGGTAAGAGTAATTCTCTATCATGATTCAGTGCAAGCCTCTATTCCTTGATAATTACACACCACCTCCATATTAATCAGTCTTCACTAACATTTTACATATATATGTAGCAAATAACCAAATTCCACGAATTCATCAATTTTATCATCTAAAGCAGGGCTCTCCAACAGGGACAACTTCTAATCTAAATCCAAATCCAGCACAGCCACACACACACACACACACACAATTCCAAAATAAGTGGCTTTTTCCCCACTTACGTTAAGTGGAGGGGAAAAAACAAACTCATCTTGAAATCAAGGTAATATGGTAATATGGTGTTGCAAACAAGATCAGCAACTGAAGAAAACCCAGCTTAGTGCTATACTGATAAGGTATCTAAAATTCATAGCAGCACAGGGGATATGCAGCCCTCAGATGTGACCCCTGCTAGCCTGGCCAGCAAGCTGTGCAGCTTCTGGCCCCGTAGAAGTTGGACAGCACTCACCTAAACAAAACCCCGCCATGTTTTATCCTTGCATTATACAGCCACCAGAGGGAGCTTAAAGTTCACTAATCCAGTTTCAAACACCTTCATGCTACTCTTCACACACTGCAGAAGAACTCCTTCTAACTGCAGAAGTACCTTATAAAGGCAACGCTGTTGCCTTTATAAGGCATAAAGCTTAACGCTGTTTCGCTTAGCACTATTTTGCTATAACACCAATTTTAAATTGATACCTGATTTCACTTAGTGCTCAGTGCATTTCATTATAATAATGCTCGCAGCCACCATCTTGGGTTATCAAATATTTTCGGCTTCGCCGACGGGCACAAAGGGAGACGATCCCGATGCGAGGAAAAAGAGGGAAAGGGGCCAGGAGCTTCCTTGGCTGACCAGGGAAATCCAGGGCAGCCTGCGGACTAAAACGGGAGCATATAAAAAGTGGAAACGGGGAGAGATTACCAAAGAGGAGTATACCTCCTCTGCTCGCACTTGTAGGGAGGCAGTTAGATGGGCCAAAGCTACCATGGAGCTGAGGATGGCATCCCAAATAAAGGATAACAAAAAATTGTTTTTTAGATATATAGGGAGTAAAAGGAAGGCCCAGGGAGGAATAGGACCCCTAATAAATGGGCTAAAGCAACTGGTGATGGACAGGGGGGATAAGGCTGAACTCCTCAATGAGTTCTTTGCCTCAGTGTTCCTAAGCGAGGGGCAAGACAAGTCTCTCACTGGGATTGTAGAGGCAGCAGCAAGGCGCCAGACTGCCATATGTAGACCCTGAGATGGTGCAGAGTCACTTGGAGGAACTGGATGCCTTTAAGTCAGCAGGCCCAG